GGATGCCTTACTTTCTTTTAGATGTGTAATATGAACTTAAGTACTCTATTTTGATGCTACTTTAACTTGTAGGTAACGAGGCCAAGGGCCAAGAACTTTCTATGTATGTAATGGATGTCATTTTTCAATATGTTTTTGTCTTCTTGACATTCCTTGCACTCGGGGGCATCTAGGTAATTTTACCTTTTTTTATTCTTGGTTTGGACCATGGTTGATCAGAGTACTCATTTTTAGGGGTGGTTACTTCGCAAATTTTTTCCAAAAAATCCCATTTTAGCCTTGAATATCACACGTTTTCGAAAAATGACAGCTCGCAGCCAAACCCATTTGGATCGAGAGTAAATTTTTTTGGATCGATCGTACTTGGCACACTTCGACATTTTTTTTATAAAACTTCAGAAATTCATATCTTTTTCGTTTTAAGTCAAAGTCAAGTGATTTTTGAGTCTAAGTTTATTATTTTTTCGTTGTCTATCCAATGGTATATACGGTAGCATCCATTTCTGTTTGAAATGACCATTTCAGTGCTAGTGCATTACCTTAATCGTTTTAAACCTTAGTTTCCACAATTGTTTCCTTTTTAGTCTCGTGACTTCACGGGAAGTTACTTCAGTGTCTTAAAGGTGGTATTCATCTCTAGATACTTCTTCTCTTTCATTACTTCTGCATCTGGGATCCGTTATCGGGTTAGTTTTCGGGTAACTCGTTGATGCACCGGGTTCTTTGAAATTCGAGCCATCACACTTTGGATGACCTCGGGTTCAGGTAAGGACCCGGGTAATGGTTCGGACCCTCGAGTTTGGGTCATTACAAGCTTGGTATCAGAGCAATGGTTCGAAAACCATCAAGATGACGGGTAGAAGCTTACCTAAAGTAGGATGGAAGTTGATGTACATGGTTGTACATGCTTATGTGTTAAGGTGTTTCTTGATTTGCAAAGCATTCTTGTTTGCTTATGTGATTAAGTGTTTAATTGATTATAGTTGTTATAGTTGTAGCACGATTATGCATGCTATGTGTTTAAAAGTCTTCTTCTCATGTTGAGTCATTCATGTGAGAACGTCGTTATTGGATGAACTTTAGTATTTTCTATATTGACTCATTTTATCGTCTTATAACGTCATGCCACCACGATGGGGACGTAGATTATGAGGGGGTTTTGGTGGGCTTCCACCACGAGGTGATGTTAGGGAGAGTTCGAACTACAATCCCATTAGAAGGGATAATGTTGAGACACCTGTTGAAGAGGGTGAAGGTCCGGTCAGGCAAACTTTGACTACACTCTTGCAGGATGTATTGTGGGCTACGGTAGCTACTGTTCCGCAACTAGTACCCCAACCAGCACCACAACCGGTAGTTCAACTAGAAGAGATAGAGATGGAGAAGCATCTCAAGTTGATTTTTAGATTTGTGAAGTTGATGCGTACTATGGTTGAGGGTGGTCCAGGCACTATGGTAGCAGAAGATTGGTTTGATCAGGTGGAGAAACACTTGTCGACTATAAGTGTGTTGCATGATCACTTGAAGATCGTCCACTTAAAACTTCTCTAAAGATGCAAAGCTCTGGTGAAAGTTAGTTACTAACTAGTACGATGTTTATATTATGGGTTGGGATACCTATAAAGAGCTGTTCTACGACAAATACTTCCCTATAACCAAGAGATGGGAGCTACGGAGGGAATTTGATCTTCTCATTCAACGCAACATGACAGTGAAAGAGTATGAGAACAAGTTCACCGCTCTTTCTCGCTTCCCTCCTAACTTAATGAGAAATGAGGCGGACAAGACTCGGAAGTTTGTATTTGGTCTTCATTACCAAATAAGGCCAGTAGTGATAGCCTAATATCTTAAGGTGTACACAGAAGCATGGAGAGAGCCTTAATGGTAAAAGCCGAGGTAAGGATAGGAATCAGACTAGGGAACAGTGGAAGCAAAAGTAGAATTTGGGATCATTCTCAGAGGGCCAACTAGGAAAGAAATCCAAGGGTGGTTCTCAGTTTTAGGGGCAACAGCCTACACGATCCGCTCCTACTACTCCTATGCCAGCTGGGTCAATTGGGAGTTGGGTCATTTGTTTTTAGTGTTAGTAACCTGGGCATTACAAGACTAAGTGTTCAAAGTTGTCTTCTAGTAGTGGAGCTTTCTTTGGTTGTGACCAGCAGGGCCATAAGGCAAAGGATTGTCCACGTAAAACTGGAGGTGCAGGTAGCAGTAAAGGGTCACAGCAGAGGCCGATACAGTCGGCTACAGTTCAGTCGGGTTTTAGACCACCGCCACCACTGCAACCTACTATGTCTTCTCAGGGTTCATGACTAGCCAGGAGGGATACTTCTACTATGACTGCACAACAGTCAGGTATTCAGGTTGGCAGTTTACAGGCACAAGCACCACAGGGTCGTGTCTATGCAGTTGTTCCAGCTAAGGCATTATCTGGTCCATCAGTTGTTCGGGGTATGTTTCCAGTGTTTGGTTCTTGGGCTCATGTATTGATTGATTCTGATGCATCCTATTCTTTCATCTCATCTTCGTTTGCACATCGGGATTAGAGGTCAGTTATTTGGAACGGGCATTGTGCGTTGATACACCAGTCGATGGTTCATTGTATTTGAGCAGAGTTGTGAGGGAATGCACTATTATTATAGCTAGATGGACACTTGTGTTTAACCTTATCCTTCTTGAGATAACTAGTTTTGATGTCATTCTCGGAATGGACTAGTTAGCTGTGTTTCGGGCTACGATTGACTACTTCAGTGGTAGAGTCACAGTTTGTACTCCCAAGAGATACTGTTTATTTTTCATGGGAGATCGGAGTGATTCCCACACTTTGACATTTTACGGGATGCATAGGTGAGATCATTGCGATTACTTCTTGGCTAGTCTCGTAGCCGAAGAAGATGATGTTGTGGAGAATTTTTATCCAGCAGTTGTTTGTGACTTCTTGGATATTTTTAATTTATAAAGATTGAATCTTTAAAAGAAAATGGGAATTTTAAGTTAAACTTATTTGAGTTCCTGTTGAAGTCACAAAAAGTGTTATAATGAGTAAATTTTGAATCTTTGAATAAAAATATCTCAATGAAGGTACCTTTTAAGTCATTAGACCGTTTAGATGTATAAATATTGAATCTTTGAAAGAAAATTAGAGTTTTTAGTTAAACTTAATCGAGTTCTCTTTGAAGTCACAAAGAGTGTTATTAAAATGTAAAGATTGAATATTTGAATGAAAATACCTCAATTAAGGTATCTTATAAGTCAATAGACTGTTTGGATGTATGAAAATTGAATTTTTGAAAGAAATTAGAGTTTTGAGTTAAACATAATCAAGTTCCGTTTGAAGTTGCAAGGAATATTTTGAAGTGTAAAGATTGAATCTTTGAATGAAAATACCTCAATCATGGTATCTTTTAAGTCTCTAGACATTTTTAATGCATAAAGATTTAATCTTTTAAATAAAATAAGAGTTTTGAGTTAAACTTAATTGAATTCCCTTTGAATTCACAAAGAGTGTTAAAGATTGTATATTTGAATGAATATACCTCAATCAAGATACCTTTTAAGTCAATATACCATTTGGATATATAAAGATTGAATATTTGAAAGAAAATGAGAGTTTTGAGTTAAATTTGATCGAGTTCCCTTTGAAGTCACAAAGAGTGTTTTAATGTGTAAAGATTGAATATTTGAATAAAAAACCTTAATCAAGGCACCTTTTAAGTCACTAGACCTTTTTAATGTAAAAATATTGAATCTTTAAAAGAAAAAGAAAGTTTTGAGTTAAATTAGTTCGAGTTCCCATTAAAGTCGCAAAGATTATTTTAATGAGTAAAGATTGAATCTTTGAATGAAAATACCCATATCAAAGTACCTTTTAAGTCACTAGATATTTTTAATATATAAAGATTTTATCTTTGAAATAAAATGAGAGTTTTGAGTTAAACTTATTCGAATTCTGTTTAAAGTCACAAAGAATGTTTTAAGGAATAAAGATTGAATATTTGAAAATACCTCAATTAAGATATCTCTTAAGTCACCAGACATTTTTAATGTATAAAGATTGAATATTTGAAAGAAAATGAGAGTTTTTAGTTAAACTTATTTGAATTCTCTCTGAAGTCACAAAGATTGTTTTAAAGAGTAAATATTGAACCTTTGAATTAAAATACCTCAATCAAGGTACCTTTTAAGTTACTAGACCTTTTTAATGTATAAAGATTGAATCTTTGAAATAAAAAAAGAATTTTGAGTTAAACTTATTCGAGTTCCCTTTGAAGTCACAAGGAGTGTTTTTATGAGTAAAGATTAAATATTTGAATGAAAATAACTTAATCAATATATCTTTTAAGTCACTAGACCGTTTTAATGTATAAAGATTGAATCTTTGAAAGAAAATGAGATTTTTGAATTAAATTTATTCATCTTTTAAGTCACTAGACCGTTTTAATGTATAAAGTTGAATATTTGAAAGAAAATGAAAATTTTGAATTAAACTTATTCGAGTTTTCTTTGAAGTCACAAAAGGTTTTTTAATGTGTAAAGATTGAATATTTAAATGAAAATATTTCAATTAAGGTATTTTTTGATCACTAGACGTTTTTTTATGTATAAAGATTTAATATTTTAAAGAAAATGAGAGCTTTGAGTTAAACTTATTCAAGTTCCTTTTAAAGTCACAAAGAGTGTTTTAACGAGTAAAAATCGAATCTTTGCCTTTTAATTACACACTTTTAATGTATAAAGATACAATTTTTGAAAGAAAATAAAAATTTTGAGTTTCTTTTGTATTTACAAGGAATATTTTAACGAGTAAATATTAAATATTTTAAAAAAAATATTTTAATCATAGTACCTTCTAAGGCACTCGAAAGAAAATGACAGTTTTGAATTGTACCGAGCTCCCTTAAAATTTTAGTCCAGAAAAAAAAAAAAAAAAAAAAAAAAAAAAATACTTGTACGAACTCAAAAAAACACAAAAATATTAGCCCACCCCGTTATAATCTCTGTATTTGCTCTTTTATAGGAATTGGTAGAGAGAGAGAGAGAAACTGGTACATTTGGAGTCCTTTGGCTTTGTGATTCTCTCCGGTTTCGTTGTTATTCCTCGACCGCCTCGAGGGTAGAGAGAGAGAAGAAAAAAAGAAAACCTCTCTCATATCTGATTTTCTCGATAAATTTCCCTTTTTTTTTTGAGTCGGACTATCTAAGCCAGGGTTTCAATTATTCGTGTTTGAATCTATTTATTGTTCAAATCTGGTGAGAGTTCGAATTTTGAAGTGTGGATTCAATATGCTGATCAGAAATGCAAATCGGCTAGAATTCTAGCTCCGTTCTCGATAACAGTCGGAATCGAAGTCAAGAAATGGAGGTGGATTCGTCGATGGTGTCGGAGGCTGATCACGATCCAACGGCCGTGAACCATAACGGCCCTGCGTTGGAGCAGCTTGGAGGGCCCGAACAGTCTCCCGCTGTTTTGGGATCTCCTCAGCAGCCACCAGAGGAGCAGGCTCAGGTGCAGCAGAGCCCTGTGGCGGGGCCAAGGCCGGCTCCAACTTACTCTGTGGTGAACGCTGTCATAGAGAAGGAGGAGGACGGTCCGGGGCCAAGGTGCGGTCACACGCTGACTGCCGTGGCAGCAGTTGGGGAGGAAGGGACACCCGGTTACATTGGGCCACGGCTTATTCTCTTTGGTGGCGCCACTGCTCTCGAGGGAAATTCTGCAGCTTCAGGGACTCCATCCTCTGCGGGAAGTGCTGGAATACGTATGCTTTCTTTTATTTCTTTGGCCACTTTTGGATTCTTCGTGTTTAGCATATTTGGGTTATTTTGCTTATCGTTATAGCACGCACCCAAAATTTGTTTGAACTTAGACATTTCAAGTTCAATTTAATGGTTTTGTGATGGGGCAGGGTGCAAATAAGGTTAATTATGTTACTATATTCATGTTATTGCAAATAAGCTTAATTATGTGGCTATATTCATGTTATTGTTTGTTCGCTAGTATGGTTGAAATCTAGATGCATTTATTCAGTTGTGTTGTTCCCATTCCCTTTAGAAGTCAACTGAGCTCTAGTAAATAAATTTGCATACCGTAGGTTTTTTGTTCTTTACTTCTTATAGTACAGAAAACCTTTATTTATTATTATTATTATTATATTTTTTTTGATAAGTATTATTATTTTCTTTTTTGATAATCAGAAAACCGTATTTTGTTATTTTTTGAACCACATAACTGATCATGATCATCATCCTTGTCTTAGTCTCCCATCACATAAGTTCTCTTATTACATTCTTTCTCTTATTACTAAATTTATTACAGGCCACTTCACCTATTATATTTAACTTCTTAAAATCCTTTTTTATTAACTTCATCTCATGTTAATTTTTCTCTCATTTCTTACCTTTCTGTATTAACTATAAACTATTGTTCCTCGTTTTGCTGGTGTATCTATAGATTGTCATTGTATATATCCATACCACCTATGTCTACTTTCTCTTATTTTGGCACTAATGGATGCCACTCCTAATTTTCCCCTTGGCCCTATAAAATATCCCTTTTAACTTGTTTGTTATTTTTTTATTGCATAAAATGTCACTAGTTTGTCTCCATTTTCTTCATCCTGATCCAATTCTACTAGTTACATCACTATCAATCTCTCTGTCCTTTTGTATAATTGATATTAAATATCGAAATTCATTATTTTGGATAGTCCTTTGATTTTGAAGTGTGAGTTTATTTTATTAAAATTTGAGTCTTTATTAAATTTACATCCCATATATTTTGTTTTAGTCCTACTAATTTTCAATCCTTTTGATTCTAAAGCATTTCTTCACCACTTTTTTTTTTTTTTAAATAGATAATGAAAATATTTTATAAATACGCTGAGCATTTCTTCACATCTATAATTTTATTGATAGGTTTGTAAGAAGTATCCAATGGCACTATGTCATGAGCAAACAACACGCACCATGAAATGCATCATTGAAAGTTTTTTGTTGTTTCATCTAAAATTATTGCAAATATATATGGGCTTAAGTATTATTATGGGACTAAGGCTAGGATGATGATGATGATATATGGGCTTAAGTATTAATCCTTGGTTACGTTTATGTAGAACTCATTAGTCTCACTCACTACATATGGATAAACTCGAATTTTTGTATTCATCTACATATCCTGGATAATTTTTATCATCTGCATAGGAATTTGTTTTCTTTGTAAAGCTTACCAAATTATATTTCTCAGGATCCTATCATATGCTTCTTCTAAGTCTATGAATACCATATGGTGAATTTTTGCTTACTCCTACACTCTTCCACTAATTGACTTATTAGGTAAATAACTTTCATTGTTAATCTTTGTGACAAATCTAAATTGATTATTAGATACCATGAATTCCTTTCTTAATCTTTGTTTAGTAATCCTTTTTCATAATTTCATTGTATGCCTCTTTAATTTAGATTCTATAATTGCTACAATTTTGTATATCTCCTTTACTTTTGTAAATAAGTGCTATTGTTATTTTTCTATATTCATTTGATATCATGCATTCTTTTACAGTTTTGTTGGACAATTTTTTAGCCACTCAATTCCTACATTTCCTAGCATTCTCTATCCCAATATAGGTCTGTTATAATGACCTTCCACTTTATTATTCTCCTTTTTAAGTGTTTCCTCTATTTGTTATTGTCAATTTTATTCATCATTCCTATATTAAATTCACTTTCTTGTACTTCTTCTCTAGGGTATTCCTCATTTAGTAGGTGAAATAAAATTTTCCATCTTGCTAATTGTGGAGGGAAAAATCTCCCCTCCAATAGAAATACACCAGGTCAGAATGTAGGGCCCCACACATGAAATCAGAATGGGCCGGTTGATGGATCACCAGGCCAAGGCCCAATGCCGAGGCCCAGAAGACCCATAATTAAGGCCCGGTCCATTGGGTCATGCCTCAGACTTCTCGAGGATTGCTAGATATCTGGAGGGGCCAATGGGTGGGGGCTCAGGTTAGAGACTTCTGGAGGGTGACCCCTCTTTGCGTTTGGTGGAGTCTTTGGAAAAAGCGGAACAGAAGATCTTTTGATGGGAAGGAGTCCTCTATTGGAGAGCTGAAATTTTCTATTATTTGTACCCTTTTTTGTTGGGGTTGGGGGAGGGATTATTCTTCTTTAGAGGACATTGTGGACTTTTTGGGTTCTTTGAGTTCATAGATTCTTTTTGTGTATATCTCGGGACGCGTTCCCCTTTTGAACGCTTTCTAATACATTTTACTTATCAAAAAAAAAAAAAAAAAGAACCGTAATACATAAGCCGGCCCACCCTTAAGCAAAGGTCCGGTCTATGGGCAAGAGAGTCCAATATGAAGAAGGGGACATTCTTACTATAATTCCTTTATGTAAACTTGTATTATAAGGAAACAAATACTATATGGTATAATCTTGTGGTGCAAGTCCTAGTCCGATTCAACCTTTGTAAATCATTATAAATAGAGGCATAGGACCTCCCAATAAAATATAAGCAATTATCTGCTAATGTTATATTTTATTTGTTCTTGAGCGTATTGTAAGGTTCTTTGACTTTTCCAAGTTAAACGAATTTTTGCACATACACTAATATATTTCTCTTTAACTAAGATTGTATTGTCTATGTCCTTCATACATCTAATTTGATCCCTGTCTTTAGTTAACTAATCTATATACTTTGCCTATTTAGTTTTTTTCACCATCTTTTGTATCTAATTTTCATACACAACATTTTTTGGATTTTGTTTAGCTTTATATACTACTCCCTTCGTCCCAAAAAAAAGTGTCTATCTTTCCTTTTGGGCTGTCCCAAAACAATTGTCCACTTTTTTTTCTTTTTTTCTTTCTTTTTTTTTTTTTTTTCAACATCTTTCCATATATGTCCTTGGAGTTTAAAATTTCAAACTTGAATATTCAAAACTTAAAAGGGCAAGTTAGTAACTTTCCAGTGGGACAATGCATGTCTCACATGTCACCTTAAAAATTTCTGCACCCCAAAAGTGACTTTTTTTTGGGACAAGGAGAGTATCCTATAGCTTCAATTTGGAAATTCTTATATTTCTCTAAATCCTCTTGTTGCTTCCTTTTTTGCCTTGCTTTAAAACTCTCTCCTTTGTTGTAATACTTGTTGTACTTCCTCACTCCACCATCTTGTCTCTATCCTGACCAACAGTGAGAGAATTTAGTACAAAGTGGCTTCTCTCAGATCTAGTCTTTGTCAATCCAAGTTTTTGCCATTGCACCAAACAATGACCCATTAATCCTTAATTAATCACACTTAGTAAGAAACATGATTTATTCTTATTAATTCAGTGAGGCATGCACTCTAGTCATATGCAAATACATATAAATGCACATACACCCACACACATTGTGGTGGGCATGTCCTTAAATATTCTGAAATCTGCATGTGAGAAATTGTGTCAAATTAAGGAGGTATACTATTTGCTTTACATGGGAACTTTGTTACATGGACCCTCATATTTACCTTCACATACTAGTGTCGATATGACATGAAATGGGTACGGATACTAAACATGTGCTCGAAACACGAATTCAAATCGGACACCCCAATCCTTCATATGACATGATTGAAGAAGAAGAAAAAAACACAAATTTAAAGCAGAGATGAGTTTCCTTATCTATGAGATAGATGAAAACCTTTTTCTTGTTCCATATCCTATTTAATTTGAATAGTAATTGAGTATATTCTTTTAGAACAACAATATTAAACGTTACATTTTTATCATATAAAAAACATATAATGTATTTAAACATATAGTATGTCTCCATGTACCCTTGTCCAACTTTTGGACAAAAATCCGTGTCCTAAGTTCTGAGATTCAAGGGTCTGACACTTAGACACACGCCTGCACCGTAACACTTATCCGAGTCTGGGTAACATAGCATGAGAATACCTCTATGGATCTTCAGAAAAAAAATATTTCTTGTTTTGAAGTTTGTGTTGTATTTGATTACAGGGTTAGCCGGGGCCACTGCTGATGTCCACTGCTATGATGTGATGACAAATAAATGGTCTAGGTAAGCCCTGCTAATGATCATTTATCAGCTAGCAAGATTCTATATGTTTGTGCCTTTTGATCTAGTGGTTGCTTCTTTTGATTCAATAAAGGTTATTATTTGGTTCTGTCTCTTTGTATAACTTACCGCAGGATTACTCCTTTTGGGGAACCACCCACACCAAGGGCAGCACATGTGGCAACTGCTGTGGGTACCATGGTGGTTATTCAGGTACACCCATTGGTATTTCAGCAGTTTTCTTGTTTACTGCATTAACTTCTGACTGGAGCTTTTCAATCTAACACAGGGTGGAATTGGTCCAGCTGGTCTGTCTGCTGAGGATCTTCATGTTCTTGATCTCACACAACAACGACCACGATGGCATAGGTTGGTTTCCCGAGTCACTTTGACTTGTTCTTTTCTGGCTTCAAGATCAAGTAACTGGCCGTTGATGTCATAATTGACACGCGCCGCCGATTAAGGAGATGGAGCTTCTTCCTTGCCGGCTGTGCTTGCCGAGTCCTGTGTACACAGGCCCACACAATAATTATATATACGTACACACACGTGTATGCATATGAAATTATATATTTGTATCATATGTCCATTGAAATATTTCTTTTTTATTTTTTAATTGCTAAAAGTGTAGATTTATTGAACTTATCAAAAAAAAAAATAAAAAATGAAATGTGTATATTTATTGAAGTTAATATTAATTTTCCTTAGGGTTGTGGTCCAAGGGCCTGGACCAGGGCCACGTTATGGACATGTCATGGCTCTAGTAGGGCAAAGATATCTCATGGCAATTGGTGGAAATGATGGTGAGTTTCTTTCACAGCTTCTTATGCAACTAAATTTTATTCTATTATGGGGACTTCTTGAGCTCAGAAAAGCAACAATTTGGTGCATGATTTTCAGGAAAGCGACCTTTGGCTGATGTATGGGCCCTGGACACAGCTGCCAAGCCATATGAATGGCGGAAACTCGAACCAGAAGGGGAAGGTCCACCACCATGCATGTAAATTTTTCCTTCTCTCCCTTCTAGATTTGTAATACCAAGTCTATTTATTCATTTCTCCATCACATGATCTTGTGTTTGTTCTGAGTGTTTTTAGATACCGTTGCACGATTAGTCAATTACATGTTTCTAGCCCATAAGCTAAGGTAAGATCATCACCAGTCTAGGTATTTGAAAGAGAGAAATTTCATACTGGTGATTGGATATAGTGTAAACACAATGACCAGAGTCTTGCTAGGAATGAAGTCTGTACAATAAAGTTCTCTTGAAAAGCCATTAGTGGCAGTGCTAAAGCTTGCCTATGTTTTTTTTTTTTTTGATAAGTAAAATTGTATTAGAAAGCATTCAAAAGGGGAACGCATCCCCAGAGCTTTACAAATACCGAAACCAAAAAGGGAGTCCTATGGACCCAAAGAACCCAAAAAGTCTACGATTTCATCTAAAGATATACAATTTCTCCCCATGACCCAACTAAAAAGAGAACAAATAATAGAAAAATTCAACGCCCCAATGGAGGATTCCTCCCCATCAAAAGATCTTCTATTCCGCTCTTTCCAAAGACTCAACCAAACACAAAATGGGGTCGCCCTCCAATAGTCACGAGCATGAACCCCCACCCAGTGGCCCCTCGACACGTTAATCAAATCCCTGGCCATAACCCATTGGACGCCAAACAGACCAAAAATAAGACTCCAGCGTTCATGAGCCACAGGACAATGCAAAGAAGGTGATCCACAGATTCTCCATCATTCTTCCACAGACCACCGGTTGACTATGATTTGTCTTCTCTTTCTCAAATTGTCCAGAGTCAAAATGTTGCCCCAAGCTACAGTCCAAACAAAAAAGGCCACCCTAAGAGGAGCTTTCGAATGCCAAACCGTTTTCCACGGGAAATTGGAACCGCGAAACCCGGTGAGACAGAGAAAAAAGGAACGAACCTGAAAAGTTCCCGAAGAAGGCACCCAAGTTAAGGAATCCGGATCAGTACCATCCACCTCCTATCTATACAAAAGGTCGCAAGCCAGTCATGTCGTCCAACTCCAAATCTTGAAAGGATCGCAGGAACCGCACATCCGAAGACAACCTACCGCTATCGAGTCGATAGCAGTCAGCTACCAAAGCATGTCTATCAATAGTAATCTTGAACAACCATGGGAACAAACAAGACAATAGGCGATCCTCGCACCTAGTCTCCTCCCAAAACCAGATGTCCCTTCCCTACTGAACTCTGAATCTAATATGCTTAGAGAACTCATCTCATCCTTTCCCAATGGATTTCCACACCCCCACGCCGACAACAGATCTGACCGGCCTAGATGACCATCCCCCCCTCTCCTCCCCAAAGCGATATGAAATAACCTTCCTCCATAACCTATGTCTTTCGCTACCGAATCTCCATAATCACTTGCCTAGGAGCGCTCTATTGAAAGGGGCCAACATCCTAATCCCAAGATCGCCTAACTTAAAGGGCTTGCAAACTCCCATCGGACAAGATGAAATTTAAACTCCTCCCCCCGCCGCCCCAGAGGAAGTTTCGTTGATAACTTGAAGCATCTCAAGTCTTCCAACAATAGATGAGGGGATCTGGAAAAGTGAAAGAAAATAAGTTGGAAGATTGGACAATGTACTCTTCACCAAAGTAACTTTCCCTCCCTTCGAAAGATATTGCTTTTTTCACCTAGCCAACCTTCTCTCGAAACGCTCTATCACCGGGTCCCAACTTCCTACATTCCTTGACGAATCACCCAACGACAAGCCCAAGTAAGAAATAGGGAAGGAGCTCGTCCAACACCCTAAAACCACTGCAAGAGAAGCCACCTCCTAAACCTCCCCCACAGGAACAAGCACACTTTTATCCGCGTTGACTTTCAAACCTGAGATTGTCTGAAAGCAAACCAGGAGATCTCAAATATCTCAGTTGGGACACATCTGCCACACAGAAAACCAGAGTGTCATCCGCGAAAAGCAGGTGAGAGATCTCCATTTGTTGAACTGAATCTAGACCTATCCTGAACCCCCAATAAATCCCAAATCCACAGCCCTTCTCATCAACCTACTAAAAGCCTCCATAACAATAATGAACAGGAAGTGGATCCCCTTACCTAAAACCACGAGAACTGCCAAATAAACTCGGATGGAGACCCATTCACCAACACAGAAAATCTGACACAGGAAACGCACGTGTCGATCCATCTCCTCAATCTCTCTCTAAAACCCATCCTCTCTAATATATAATACAAAAAATTCTAGCAAACATGATCATAGGCTTTCTTAATATCAAGCTTACACAAAACTCCAGGAACACCGCTACTGAGCCTATAATCCACACATTCACTGGCAATGAGAACGAAATCCAGGATCTGTCTGCCCAACGAACGCATTTTGGGATTCAGAGATGACTTCGTCCAGAACCTCCCCCAATCTTAATGCAAGGACTTTAGTGATAAGCTTATAGATACACCTAATTAGACTTATTGGTCTAAAATCCTTAATCTCAGAAGCACCATCCTTTTTAGGAATTAGAGTAATAAAAGATGCACTCAACGACTTTTCGAACCTCCCATTATAATGGAACTCATGAAAAGTGCCCATAACCTCCTGTCTCACCACCTCCCAGCTCTCCAATAAAAACGTTATTGTGAAACCATCCGAACCTGAAGCTTTGTCACCATTACAACTCTTCAAAGCCTTCAAAACCTCCTCCTCTGTAAAAGGACTCTCTAACCCATCCCTATCCACAGCTGATATAAAGTCAAAATGAAGGCCATCGAGCCGTGACCTTCAACGTAAAGGCTCAGAGTAGAGCCTCTGATAGAAAGAAATGATCCCCCTACGCACCTCCTTTTCCGTACTCCACATCGTTCCGTCCAAACAAATGACAAATCCACCCAATATGATTACTCCTCCTACCGACATTAGCAGTTCGGTCTCCCTTTTTGAGCCATAAAGCCTGAGAGTTATGTCGCCACGAAATTTCCTCCATAACGGCAATCTCTACAATCTCTGTCTGACAAGCTGCTCTCATATCACGTTGAGACTCAATAATACCACCCACCCCTTCCAATCTATCAATCTCAGCAATATCATCGAGAGTCCTATTCTTCCTCCACTCTAGATTACCGAACACCTCCTTGTTCAATCTTTTGAGTTTGTTCTTCAGGAGTCTATGCTTTCCTGTCAAAATAAAACTTGACGTTCCCACCACCATGTCATCCTCCCACCAAGACTGCACTTTCCCCTAAAAATCAACCGCTCTAAGCCACATGTTCTAAAATCTGAATGGAGTACAACGAGGTCTCAATCCTCCACAATCCAAAACCAAAGGAATGTGGCCGACGTCACCCTAGCCAAAACAGCCTGAACTGCATTTGAAAACTTCTCCTCCCAGTCCCCAGAAATCAAGAATCTATCCAGGCGGGAAAGAGTGGGCACCTCCCTACCGCTGGACCATGTAAAAGCAGCTCCTTCTAATGGAAGGTCAATAAGATGATGATGTCCATCAATAAACTCCGAAAATTGCATCATAGACGGAGTCCATCGACCACCTGTAGATCTCTCCGATGGGTACCTAACCACATTGAAATCCCCGGCCACACACCATGGAAAAGACCACACTAAGCTCCTCCCACAGCGCAAGCCTCTCACAATCATCCACCGGCGTAAAGCCCAAGAAAAACCATCCTCCTCCATCACAAAAGCACAAGATAGAGATAATTGCCCTTGCCATCCATCTCCTATCCCACATGAGAAGAATGCCTCCAGAGGCCCCTGAAGAATCCAAAACCTCCCACTCAACGAACCTACTTCCCCAAAGGCTCTTAATCACTCTATCGGTCATTGAATCCATCTTCGTTTCTTGAAGGCGCACCGAATGAACCCCCCATTTTCTCACTGCCAACTTCACCACCTTTTTGTTGATCGGGTCATTGAGATCGCGAACATTCCAAGATAAATTCTTAGCTTTATGAGGAAACATTAGCACCCACCTCTCCCTTACCCCTCCCTCCCCCCTTAGCACTGCCCCTTTCCTTCCCCCCCCTTATCTTCCTTTCATAGTTCATGTCTGAACAAAGATTTCTCAGCTCCCTCTCCCCTCTCCAAGAGGGGGGATTCTTTTTCCTTATACTCCCCCTTCTAGAGATCTTTTTCATCTCCCCTTCTCTCCCCTCCACTGTAGCATGAAGAATCGATAAGGCGTAGTCCCGATTGCCCTTGTAAGAGACACCCAACAGTTTGCTAGTGACTCCGATATTTGCCATGACCCATTCCTTGCCAATATCACCACAATCCTGCCTTAGAATATCACTGTCCATACCCTTTGGCTAGGAAGCACGAACACGCGTTGGACACACCCCGACACGTGTCAGACACACCAAAAAACGTATCTGGAATTTTTTTATTTTTTATTTTTTAATTTTCGGACTAGGCTCAGACATGGCTCGGACACTCTGCGGACACGTGTCTCGAATTTTTTATTTTTTATTTTTAAATTTTAATGCTGATATGTTTTGTTTTTTGCTTTGTACTACCCTTTTGGTATTGTAAATGGTAAAAGTCCTAGGTCAAATGATGGATGGGAATAGATGATAGTACACTGACTTGTTTATTGTATCTTTTTTGGGGACAAGCCTTTAGGTTTTTGTGAAAGTTAAGTGTTAACGGTAAAATCTTGAATGTTAAACAGTCATGAATGTTAATAGTCCTTTCTGTCTATGCTTTTGTAGTTGGAGTAAAGTTGCAATGATGATTAAATGATACTACCTCTGTCCCTAAATAGAAGTCCATGTTTAGAAATTGGAGTTTTTAATGGGACATGCAATTAATGCATTGTCCCCTTTTAAAATTACCAAATTGGCCTTTTTAATTTAAATATATATAATTACTAAGTTTGAAATTTTTAAAAAAGATAAAGGACAATGATGGAAATATAATGAAAAGATGCTTCGACTTTTCAAAGAGGACAACTAATTTGGGACATGTAAAAAGAGAAAAATAGACTA